TCATTATTCGTTTCACGTTGTAGTTCTTCTTCTTCACTCGCCACTTGATCGGTCTGTCGGAAAAATAGAGTCCTGGCGTTGTGGCACTTGGCTGTTGTGGCTTGTGTTGTGGCTTTTTAATGTGTTGTGGCTTTTTGTTTTTTAATGTGTTTGTGGTTTTTTTAATGTGTTGTGTGGCATGTTTTTTAATGTGTTGTGGCTTTTTAATGTGTTGCGGCATTGTTTGCGCTTTTTGTGTCGTGGTGTTTGTATTTGTTGCGGCATTTGCATTAAAATAGAGTCTCGCGGTCATTTCCGTTGTGGCTTTTTTTGGTGTGTTGTGGCTTTTTTTGTTGTGTTGTCAGATTTGTATTTGTTGCGGTGTTTGCGTTTCTTGTGACCCCTCTTGGCTTCAGTTGTTACCTCATCAAAAACAGACCTTGAGTTATGTTTTGTTTCATTCACACATGTTTGAATGATCTTGGTTTACATCTCCAAAACTCTGCTCTGTTCCACCTTGTGATGTCATGATGTGGCAGTTTTCAAGTTAGCAGCTACCTTTTACCTTTTTGCTCAGAAGAGAATGTGTAAAAATGTATCACCACGTGACATCACAAGGTGGAACAGTGCGTTTTACTTTGAGAGAAGAAGTCGGCCTGAAAATGAGGTGTGTTAAACGTGTGTGAATGAAACAACAACACAACCCCAGACATGTTTTTGACGAGAAAACAACATCATAACATAGATCAGAAAATAGCGTAGTATATGCCGTACTGCGGAACATTCTAGGCAAAGCAATAACATCTCCATGGAGACAACTAGAAATGTTACATAATACACCTTTAAACTGCAGCCTACACATTCGAAGTCTGTCACTGAAACGATTCTTCCCTGGGACATATCTGCGAGCTCTTGAGTAACGCACAGCTCGGTGTTTTCGGCATGTCTGCGCTTGAGATTTATTACTCCAGGGCAAATGTGGCTCCACTTCCATCGGTGCGTGCCTCAGATGCCTTCTCTGGAAAACAGATATTCAGTTTCACACGTTAGGTGTCATATGCGAAGCCCACAATTGTTTTAGCGGTCCATGAGTCAGCGATTATTTTTCAGATTCCACTAGTGCTTTTGTACATTTTTAAACTGAATACTGGTTGGAAGATAGTGACTGAAGACTTCTAGATAGAGAATTGTTTACGTAAGTCTGAAATAATTGATCAGTTTTTGTGCTATTAAACGCATTTTGGCATGTGTTTTAAAGTCGGTATAGTCCACATAACAATTAAGTACAATTATCAAAAAACAGACCTGGGGTTGTGTTTTGTTTCATTCACACATGTTTGAGTGACTCTTTAGTCTCTCTACATCTCCAAAGCTCAAAATGCTCTGTTCCACCTTGTGATGTCATGAAGAGGTAGTTTTCAAGTTCAAGTTACAAAAGAGGAAGAAACTTTAGAGACAGACTGGTACATTCCCATCTTCCTCCAAACCAGACTACATCAGGCCAAACTATGTTGACTCCTGTTCCTGATGGGAATCGCCGCTGTGGTGGGTGCAGTCAGTGTAACTACACCTATCGCTGCAACAGTTTTAAGCACCTCACACTGGAAAAGAAATACCCATCAGAAGAATTATATCCTGCAATACTAAGTCTGTTCTTTATATGATCACCTGCCCCTGAGGTAAAGCCTGTGTGGGAAAAACAAGCAGGGCTTGAAAAACACGTATTGCAGAGCATTGGAGTACAATCAAATATACCATATTTTCCAGACTATAAGTCGCTCTGGAGTATAAGTCACACCAGCCAAAAAATGTGCAACGAAAAAGAAAAAACATAATATAAGTCGCACTATTTGGGGAAATGTATTTTGTAAAATCAGAGGCCAGGAACTGACATTGCATCTTGAAAGGCAAGTTACAGTAATAACAGCAGAATATGTTAACTCTTAATATGTTAATGTAACATAATAAGTCCAGGCTTTGTTGATTCATCCAGTGACTTCCAGGAAGTTACATGGTGCACCCTTCCTGGTTGCCATGAAGCTGTTTTCTTCATCCCCGCTTTCCGCCAGTATCTCACAAGTTTCTCGCTCACTCCAAACTTTTTTTCTGCTGCTCTAGTACCATTTTTGACTGAAGTATTTCACTAGTCGCACTGGAGTATAAGTCGCAGGACCACCCAAACCATGAAAAAAAGTGCAACTTATAGTCCGAGAAATACAGTACTTTTTTTTTTCCGAAACATTATTTAATAATAAAATCGGCCATCTGAGTGTGATATGCGTTTTTTCACTTTAGTTTTCAAGTTTCAACAGCTCCTTTTGCCGTTTGTTTAGAAGACACTGGCAGTTCCAGCGCTGACATCATCCAAATGATTCTAGCGAAGGTGTATGGATTTTTAAAACACAATGGAGCACTTCCTGTCTTTCATGGGTCTCCAACCTATAGCTCTCCACCCCCTTACAAGTAGCTCGGCAAAGGATTTTTGATTTATACGTATTGTACTAAATAACTCAAATTTGATGAATTACCACTGTAAATGTGTTTTGTTTTTTTTACTTTATGCACTAATAAATGGATAATGGATTTTTTTTTCTCCTCCCACATCCTCATGTTATGCTGCAGTGTTTATTCCTATTTTCTACCTGTCTCCCGGTCCGTTCCACGTTGTCATCCCCATGTATTGTATTGTGTTGTATGTTTGTAATGTACGGACGGGGGGAGAGGTCCAATTTTGATTCCTTTGTATGAACATGTACATGTGGAGAGAATTGACAATAAAGGCCCATATTCATTCATTCATTCATTCATTCAGTGGTTTATGTTTTACAGGCATCTAACTGTACATCTAAGGCTTGCCCTCTTATATTGAATCAATCTCTTGCAACCACTAAAATGAGTAGCTCTCCTGCATTTTCATTTTGTAAAAGTAGCTCACTGGATGCAAAAGGTTGGAGATCCCTGCTGTATCACCACATGACATCACAAAGTGGAAGAGTGTTTTCAGTTAAAGAGAAGAACTCAGCCTAAATACATATGAACAAAACAAAACACAACTCCAGGTCTGTTTGTGTTGAGGAAACATGAAAAAATAGATCAGAAAATAGCACAATAAGGGCACTTAAATAGTCGTCCAGTCACGATTACTCCAGTTGACAGTTGCAGCCCTAATCATTTGTACGTCATAAAAGTTTAAGTGCGGTGTATTTATAGAGTAAATAAATGCGATTATGGCAATAGCATCATAAATAGATGACCATAAATTATTCAAGGACAGATTAGTCAGTAAGTGTTTCACAACAATGAAACTAAGAGAGCTGTAGATTTAAGAGGAGACTAAAACGTGTCCACTCTGCCCTCTAGTGGCCACATTAGGCATGACATCCATCGATAATCAAAGCTGTTCTTTCTATTCCTGAAAATCTAAAAATAAAGGCGTAAACAACATCCAGTCTATTTATGGACACCATTTGCTTTTAGATGCAGTATTTAGTTGTCATCTTGTCTTTAATTTTGTTATTTTTAGCGAGGCCAGAGCACAAAAGAGACGAGAGAAGAAAAGGAGGTGATAAAAAACAGATGTTTCATTGACCTGATTCAGTCTCACGCTGCAACCAGAAGAAAAAGAGTAGTATGAAACAATATGCCATTTCAGGTGTAAAAAATAAAATGAATAAAATAAAAGTACAATAAAACAGTTACAGTAAAAATGTCTTTCTTTCTGGACAAATATCAGGATTGTATTTCTGGTCATTGCTTGTTCTGTTCCTCTTTCACATTTAAACAAGTATTTATTTACATTTTATTAAAGGGCTAATATTTCCCTCATCTGTTATAATATTTTTTCTGTTGGTGCCATTTTCTAGCTCAGATTCAGTCATAATATAATTTGATTTATATTTATTGATTGCATGTTACAGCAGATTTAGGATTACATTACTATATTTCATCATTTGTATTTAGTGTAATGTTCATTTAGTTTTGAATTAGTTTCGTTTAATTTGTTTAGTTTTAGAATTTCCAGAGAAGTATGGCCAACAGGAGCTTGTGCATTCATGGAAGGTAAAAATGTTTTTCTGTGTCTTGTGTAAGAATTTCAATAAAAACGAGATGAACACACCGTTTTCTACCGTTGTTAAAACCTTAAACACGACAAGTAGACTCGTTCTTTCCGTCTGAAAGTGGTGAATTGCATGAATACATTAAGACAGGCATGTCCAAATTAACTTTTTACTGCAAGTTTTTTGAAAATCTACCTTGATAAAGTTAATATTTAGTGTTTTTTAAGGATCTTAGAATGAATAAAAGGTAATTTTAACATGTTAAACCTGCGCATATTTCAATTATTCACTGTATTGAGCACCAGTCTACGGCCCTCAATCGGCCCTCTGCTTCGTCTGTCTGTATGTGGCCCTTGATGAAAAAAGTTTGGACACCCCTGAGTTAAGAAGAACTCACTGAACACAAGAAGGGAAATTTATCCACTTCAGTTTCCTCATCAAAAACATACACGGAGTTATGTTTTGTTTCATTCCAACATGTTTAACACACAAACCCTTCCTCTCTCAGACTGAAAACACTTCATCCCACCTTATGATGTCATGTGGTAATACAGGAAGTGCTCCACTGTGTTTTTAAACTCCATGCACCTTCACTTTTGGATAATTTCAGCCCTGGAACTGCAAACCTCTACTGGACTAAAGGTAAAATGTAGCTGCTAACTTGAAAACTATATCTTCATGACATCACAAGGTGGAACAGAGCATTTTGAGCTGAGATATAGACAGGCCTAATAACGCAGAATTACTCAAACATGTGTGAAAGAAACAAAACACATTTATGGTACGTTTTCGAGGATCTAACAGCATTCTAACAAGCTCAGGAAAGTCAATTTTGTAAAATATAGACCTTTAAATAAACCAATCTCACACCAAAATCTACATTTGCAATATAATAATTAACTTTACTTACTTAGTTACTTTAAAAGAAAGACTCAGAGTCGTGCTTTGACACATGAACAGTTTTATTGTCTGCCATGTACACACTGCAGCTGCTAGGTTAGCGTTTTTAGTAGTCATTTGATAAACTTGTACATGCCCGCATAGGTATTTGCACTGGTATTATGATATAGTGGAAACAAGATGCTTTTTAATAAACCAATTATTATTATTATTATTATTATTTTATTCTCTTTGTTCACATCCAGCAAATGACAAGATGTGGATCGTTTGGTTTTGTTCCTTTTTAGTCTGAAACTGGAGATTCACACCAAACATACTTATGACATATGAGCATAATTCATGTATTTTCTACAGTGATAAAAACGTTCCATTGTCTATACTTCGAAACACATTCAAGCACACACGCAAATGTCGCCACAGCCATCACGTGGACAGCAAAATAAATAAATAAGATACAAAGTGAAGAGGTGATCGGGAGCTCTGGTGGGACGGGGGGGGTTAAAGCGAAGTGGAGTGCTCTGGACAAGGACTGGGCCGGCTGAGATCACAACTAGAGCAAAGGCGAACTCTGTCTGGCAATGCTTCTAGAAACCTGCGAGGATTATTGCAAAATTATTATGATTATGACCTATCGGAATACAGCTAAAATACAATGTTTTTCTCATAATTGTGGGACGCTACAAGTGCTATCCAGTTCAGGGTGAAGAACTATCAAATTCTAAAAACTCATTTCATCCTCCTCTATGCCTAAATTCAGTTCAAAGTGTTTTGGGATGCTCTACATTTAGTTAGAAGTGTCACCTTTCATTGTAATTACCATTTCTAAGATTTCTAAACTCTATTTTTGTCATGTCATGAGTAAAATAGTTAATAAATGTACTTAACAGAGTTGTATTCAAACCATAGACTGTATAAAGAAGTGGACTAAAGGAGTGTGACGTCGCCATAACGTTCAGCTCCAGTCAAATGAAGCTCATCGAGGCTTGCAGTTATACGAGTGAATTTGGTGTATTTGGAGCATCAGAGCAACGAAAGAGCCAACCTGAAGGGAGGGTGTTGAAGGCGAGTGCTTAGCAGCGCTGTCAATCGCACCTGTTGTTGATGCTAGCTGGAGTGACCCATGGATCTATAATAAAAACTGGTAAGCCCCTCCCCCTCTGTCCTGGTTCGAGACGGACTAGCGGCTGCTCCAGGTACTGAAGCTCCCGGAAGCTTGGGCCCAGAATGACTTTTCCCATAGAGCGCAATGCATTTTTTGGGAATTCAAACTGTGGTTGGCTGACAGGGGCATCCACAACTTTCACAAAGGTTGTATTTTTTAGGATTCTTTTCCATTTTCACAGCATAAACTACATTTTTAAATCGTCAAAACCCCTAAAACTTAGCTTTGTAAGACTTAAGCCCAGTTTATAGTCTTGCATCAAATTGTCAGTGTGACGCAGAGAGTTTGCAACGCCTTGAACCCCTTGACCGATGTGCACCTCCAAAATTTTCTACCTACGCGTTGAACCGACGCAGACAGCAAAGGAAGGCGACGCAGACAATAAGGGCTGTGATTGGTCCTCTCTAAATCCGCTCTACAGACATTTCCAGTGCTCCACTTCGGTACACCACTTCATTTTGTTTACACGAACAGCATTTTAAAATCCTAGGCTCCAAGAGTTGTGGCGGTGAATTACTTCGAGGTGCATAAACTTCGACATAAATCCATAAATCAAAAACGACGGCGACAAGGCGACGGTGGCAGTGTGTGTTGAGGCGACGCAGAACTCTGATTGGCTCTGATTGGTCCAAACTCTCCATGTCGTCCACATTACATACGTCGCGCGGGTGGGAGGAGCTTGCCTGTATTTTTGGGCCCATGCGACAATGAGCACAGGAGACTGAAAACAATACAACGCATCTTGGGTTCACCTTCAGATTTTATGGAGTGACCTCGGGGAAAATAGCTAAATTAAAACAGCAGGATCGTGACGTTACAGAGATTTGTATTGAACTTTTTTTCAGTACAGTCTATGGTTCAAACTTGTGGACAGACCTCGGGCTTTGCTGATGCTAAACTCAGCCGGCTTCATCCAGTAAAGGCTCGGCAGCTGAACGTGGAGTTTAAGTGCTTCTCCTGCTTTGAATCTCAACACAACATTCATCATTACTTTTGATCATTTACACACACGAGTGACTGCTCTGTATGACCCGACCGATGTGAGCGCACAACACGAGGACACACACGCACACACACGAGAAGGGCAGATGCATTATGGGAAGACTGGAAGGTGTGAAGTGAACAGAGTCCGGCCCGGTCTCCAGCTCTGCTCCGTAACAGTACAGCAGCTCTATGGGGCAAATGTTGTAAATGCTTCTCTCCTTTTTTCAAGCGCGATTCCCTCTATGTACAAAGCTTTACAAAAGTTTTTCATTTTTTATTTGTCGTCCAGAAGAGGTCCACGTGAGGCAAAGTCCGTCCGCTGAAATCTACCGTCCCCAACGCCCTGCTGTCAATCAAACTGCAACTGAAGCTCCATCGACAAAAAACAACTATCTTTGGTCACAAAACAATCAAGACCTTTGGGAATTACGCTCCTTTCACTTCGACGTATCGGAGAGGTTCGGAGTTCACTCGGAGCTCTCCTCCTCCTCCCCCTCTTCCTCCTCTCTCTCTGATTGGCTCTGGTCCTTGCGTATCCGCCCCCTGTGTTCCTGGTCCTGGCAGTATTGCAGTAGCAGCCTGTGGAGGTGCTGCTGTAGTACGTCGGGTTGCAGGGCGTAGGGGGTGTCGTCCTCTCGCTCCAGGTGCACCTGCTTGCCTCGCTCGTCCCTCACCACGGTCCTCTTCTGGGTGCGCGCCTTACGCATCTGACTTCTGTAGAAACGGACAGAGAGGGACAGAGAAAGAGTAAGATTATGTTCATGTTAATCTAAGTGTAGTATTAGCATCAAGATCATTATTATTATTAGTTTAAACTTTTGAAGAATTTCGACTGTTGTGTAGAAAATAGCAAGTATTAAGAATCCGCGTATCGTTCATTTGTTTTTCAATATAAAACCACAAAAGGAAATGAAAAAACAAGTATTTTGTTCATTATTTGTCTCCAAAACCAAATGAAAAAACAGATAACAATTTGTTTTATCAGTTTTTGATTTAGTGTTTAAATGAATAATGGATAAAACGGATAACAGCCTGTTTCCGTGACTTAAAGTGCGATGCCGGACTTTTGCGCCGCATACAAACTGAACCAGGACTGAACCTCAGTCAGTCACTCGGTCTCAGTCCTGATCTGGTCCTGGTCTCATTCCCGGTCTGGTCCCGTTCTCAGTCCCTGTTTGGTCCTGTTCTCAGTCCCGGTCTAGTCCTGGTCTCAGACCTCATAACCCAACAGTCTATGCGGGCACACCTCTGGGCCCGTCCCTACACTCAGTCCTGGTTTAGACCTAGTTTAATCCTGGTTCAGTCCTGGTTCAGTCCTGGTTCAGTCCGTATGCGGCGCAAAGTCCCGCATCGTAGTTTAAGTCACGGACATGGGAAAGGGAACGAAAATGAAAACTGAAAAAAAGAATTGTTATCCGTTTCTTCATTTTACTCACTGGGCTCATCTTAGCAGGTAAGTTAGGAACAGGTCAAATCACACAAACCACATGACAGATTATTTGAGTGATGTAAACAGTGAACAGAATTAATCCACAAAGGAGGAATTAATTATGGACCTACAGAAACTACTACTACTACTATGGCCCTAACTACTACTACTACGGACATACAGAAACTACTACTACGGACTACTATAGTAACTACTACTATGGACATACAGAAACTACTACTACTACGGACATACAGAAACTACTACTACTACGGACATACAGAAACTACTACTACTACGGACATACAGGAACTACTACTATGGACCTACAGTAACTACTACTACTATGGACCTACAGTAACTACTACTACTACTACGGACATACAGAAACTACTACTACTATGGACCTACAGTAACTACTACTACTATGGACCTACAGGAACTACTACTATGGACCTACAGTAACTACTACTACTACGGACATACAGTAACTACTACTACTACGGACCTACAGGAACTACTACTATGGACCTACAGTAACTACTACTACTATGGACCTACAGACTACTACTATGGACCTACAGTAACTACTACTACGGACATACAGTAACTACTACTACTATGGACATACAGTAACTACTACTACGGACCTACAGTAACTACTACTACTACGGCCCTACAGAAACTACCACTACTATGGACCTAAGTATGACTACTCTTATGGTGATATAAACATGTTATGTGTTAGCAGTTAGTGCTTCACTGAAGTGTAAAATCCTCTCTTTAATGTTTGTTGAAGAAATCCTACAGTGAGAAAATATTTTTAACAAACCATAACAGTTAGTTGAGCCCTAAACGCAGCAGTCTGACTATTTTTTACTTAACACACTGTATTTAGAAAACACATTTGTAGGGATCTGGACATGCTTTGAGCTCTGTTAGTCACTCCCATGCTCAGACCTTTTGACTACAGAACCGTCCTCTTGTACAATCTCCCTCTCTCTTACATGAGGGAGCTGCACTTTCCCAAAGCCCCCCGCATAGACCAACGCCTGAGGACGAATCAGCAACATGTCAAAATATACTTCAAGATTCAAGCGGCTTTAACACAAATGACTAGAAACTGAAAAAAAGGTTATTTCATCAGAATATACTATAGGAATGCTTAGTCACAATGAAATAAAATTACAATTTAACTACATGTGCTGTGACTGACCTTCTCAAAGTCCTCTCTGGCTGAGGGCAGATCTGAGGCCAGCGACGACTCTCCTGTCTGCTTCTCCAGCCGCTCTCCTCTCACCACCGTCGTCTTCACCACTTTACTGACTTTCCGACCTTGCACCGGCTCCGACTCAAACTCCGAAGCTCTGGCAGCGCCCAGAGACAGCGGCTCGGAGAAGCTCAACTGTGGACGCAATGGAACGACTGTTAAAGGTGCACTGCGTGACATTTCCTACTTGTGTCCATGGAGTAGTTGTAGCTCTCTCTAGAAAGTTCTACAGCAGGGGCGGGTAATGATTTTTTGAGAAACAGAAAATATTGTGAAGGGCCGGGCCAAAATGCTTAACTCAATTCTGCATACAGTGCAAAAAACAAAATCTAGTCAAGTTAAAATGACTTGAATTAAGAAAGTTTTATCATGATTTGAGTAAATTTCACTTGACAAGAAAAATGATCTGCCAGTGGAATAAGACTTTTTGTACTTAAAATATAAATATACATCTTGCTACACTTAAAATAAGAAAAACAAGTTTTGCACTTAAAATAAGAAACAAAATCGAAAGTGGTTTGAATTAAGAACCAAACACTTACTCCAATGGTAGATCATTTTACTTGTCAAGTTCAATCAACTCAAATAAAGTAACATTTTCTTAATTTAAGTCATTTTTAACTAGATATTGTTTTTTTTCCAGTGTATTATTAATTGTATTTCTTTATAAAAAGCAGTAAATATCATTGTTTTGATGAGTTGGTCAGATTGGTAAGTTTATGTTGTGACTAAGCAATGAAAAAGTGAGGCTGCCCTACAAAAAATGTCATTAAGAAACACCTCTAAAATAAAAGCAATGCAACTTTAGTCCATGCATGAGGTAAAATGATAAAATATGTTTATTTTATAATTCCAAATGAGCTTAAATGAGCCAGTCAGAGTCATCCAAAGGGCCGTATGTGTTTTCACAGAAATGGAACTATCTTGAGTTTCTTCAATTACAGATGTTTACATTGCTAAAGACTCGGGCTGGGTATCTTTTAAGATGTTGCCGATATGATACATAGCTCACGATACAATACAGTGCACTTTTGATTCAATACGATTCAATACGGTTCAGTGGAAAACAAAGTATAAATCATGGCTGTGATAGTAAAAGTCCAGTGAGTTTGTGCAAAGTGAATATGAAAATCACCCATTTTATTCAAAACAGTTAAAATGTCAACACAATTGTAGATTTTAGACAAAATAATTTAGTAAAATATACCTAAAAAATACTCCTGGCAATATATCGATACAGCAGCCCAAAATACCAATACTGTATCATCAAATTAAACAATACAATATATCAATAATTCAATATTTTTGCACACCCAACTAAAGACAGACCTACCATACTGTGGAACATTCCAGACAAAGCAGTAACATCTCCACGAACAGACAGAACAAGACAGTAGGAGTTCATGTATATAGGCCTGTAAACTGATGCCCACTGACCTCTCTCTGCTCCCCTTCACTGTGCAGGACTGTCCTCTTGATCACCTTCGACACCGTGTCTCCCTCGTCTATCCGAACCATGTCCTGCTGAGACCCTTCCATCGTCACTTCCTGTGTCTCCAGGCCGTCTGGAGACACATACTTCCGAATCACCTTCCGCGTAATCTGATAAGACAAAAGTGTAAATGTTATATATCTGTGTGTTAAATATCCATTGTCTAAAATGTAATATAAAAGGTAATAGTTTTCACCTTCTTGACCACCATGTTTCCGTGCTCGTCCGTGTACTGCTCCTCAGTAACAGTCTGTGGTGGGATTTCTGGTAACGTGTCCGCCTATCAAAACAAACACAAAGACACTCAGCTCAAATGTATAATAGAAAGACCTATATTTAGATTTTCTGTATATTTTGCTTTTCACTTCAAACACAAAACATTCTCCAATATTTGCAGTTTCACATCTCCACCATGAAGGGACAATAACCGACCTAAAATCTGCTGCAAAATGTGGAACTGCCTCAAAAACTGGAAGCAGCTTGATAGCCGTAAATGCCCAAACACCAACAGGAAAAGAAAATCTTACTTTTAAAAATTAGGAAGCAAAAAAAATGTAAATGTGTAACCCATGCAGTACACCAACAACATAGACAACAAAATCTCAACAAAAGATCCACAAAAATCAAAAAGAAAAGTTATCTGTGAACCAAAACCCCACACCGGTGTTGTATTGCTGGACGGACAAGCTGAATCCTGTTTGTTTACCTGAATGATAACTCTTCTTCGGACCACTCTGGTGGTCAGTATCTCTTCTTCTGAACTATCAGACAGAGCCCCTAGCTCCTCTGCTATCTCCTGGAGACAGTAACACGTCAATGACATTCTGCAGCACAGGGCAAGAGACTCCTTTTCTCTTAACCTCACAGTCGCAGCAAATAGAATGAGACAATGACAAATGTGGATATGAACGACTGAAGTGAGATGAAGAGAAGGGAGTTGTATGTTAGCGCACATGCATCTGGATCAGCAAGCAGGAATAGAAACATTTTTATGCCTGGGGGAACGATTCAACATAAATGCCAAACCTGTTATCTTGGGAATAAATTCAGTGAAACAACATAAATCATGCATACTCTATTTTTCGGACTATAAGATGCACTTTTTTTCATGGTTTGGTTGGTCCTGCGACTTAAAGTCCAGTGCGACTTATATATTACCACTGTCACTTGGCTCTACTGCGCATGTCTCCTGCACAAAGAGCCTCTGTCCTGCTGCATTAGTGAGATATGTAGCTGAAAACAGTAATAAAGCAGCAGAATGTTTGGAGTGAGCGAGAAACTTGTGAGCGACTGGTGGAAAGCGGGGATGGAGAACACAGCTTCATAACTGGGATGGTGCGCCATGTAACTTTCCTGGAAGTTACTGGATGGATTGACAAAGCTTGGGCTTCAGTGACAATCGAAACCATCCTGTCGGGATTCAGAAAGGCCGGAAAATAATTCTAACTGGAACTGAAGCTGAGTCTGACGACAGCTACATGGATTTAGTGATTTGAAGTGAGATGGAGAGTTTGGTAAACTTGTTCTATTGTTTATGCTATAGTTATCTGAACTAAATATACTATAAGAACTGTGATAGAAATGTACATTGTGGAAAGATTTCTCTCAAACTGTCTTGTGTAAATTAATGTGATTTCTACCTGAAACCCAGACCAGTCATTAACATGTGTAAAGGTTCATCAGGCACAACTGTCTCCGCCTTCAGGAAGCCTCTTGTTATCATCAACTGTATGTTAATTTAGTACCAGCCTCTGAAACCAAAGTCACTCTGCATTGATATATATGTAACTTGTATTTCTGTATAAATACTGAGAGCTCAAATGCTCAGGAGGGGACATGGGAGAGACAGGGTGAGAGGCTGTTGGGCTTTGGCCGGAACAGGCCGAGGCCCTGTCCATATCTGCTGTAACAAGAATAAACCTTGGTCTATATTCCAAAAACTCATCGAGCTTCGCAAATTGATTAATTATTTATCTTCAAGAGATATATAATTTTTTCCACAACAGAACTGTTCATATATGATGTTAACAACCTGTTGTTCTCTGTTCTATTGTTATTACTATAACTTTCCTTTCATGATGAAATGTTGTTTCCTGGTCTCTGATTTTATAAGGTAAATTTCCCCCAAAATGTGCGACTTATAGTCCGGTGCAAATTATAGTCCGAAAAATAAGGTAAATAAAAAGCTCTCCATGTTTCATTTGTAAGAGCAATCAAACGTTTAGTCCTTCTATCTCATTTCCACAGCCTCAGCTCAAAACCTGCAGAATTCCAGCGCACTTCATTAGCTTAAACAACATAACAGTCACAGCACACCATTTTTTACACTGCAATGACAGTTACTGTATGTGAATAAGTTCATATTTGCTTTACCTGAACTGGAAAACAGTTTTTATTTAGTTTGTTTCATATTTCACAGTCCAAATCTCACATGCACAAAGAAGCCATTGTGAGCCACACCTTTGAGTAATTCATGATCAAACTTGTATCAAACCTCAGCCCCACAGCCACAAACCAGTGCACTGTGCTCATGCTCAGACCTTACCCTTCCTAGGTCATCATCATCATCACAGTACCCTGACTGGCCTCTAGGGGGCAGCTCCTCACACCCGGGGAGGGCAGTCTGTGAACCTCCCGAATCATACGCATATTCACCCAAACTTTCACTTCCAGAGGAGAAGCGCTTGTACTCGTCCGGCCGTAGGAAGTGATGTGCGGCATACTCGTGGCCTCCGTGATGATAACTTGTGTCCAGACTGCTTCCAGGCATTGGTGACGGTGGTTCTGAAATACGATAGGCCAATGGCGGTTCTGCTTTAATGTCCTCTGGCTCAGACAAGTCAGAGAGGGCTTGTTTGCAGTCAAAGAACTCAGAATCTGAATCTGACTCTGGTTTTGTTTCTGGTGATTCAAATTCCTGTGCAGTTTTGTCAAATTCTTCAAGAACTTTGTTGAAATCAGGGGAAAATTCAAACTCTTCTGGAGACTTAACCGTGCTGCTTGGTGATTGACTGAGCACTGGTTGAGCACTTAACGAAGACTCTGACACCTTAAGGCTTTGCTGTCCCAAAAATATGGCTTCGTAATCTGGGGGTACGAGGAAGTGGCTGGACATGGGTGAGAAGAGTTCAGAAGACATAGAGGGCTCAGTTGGTGGCAGCACAGGAGTGACAGTCCGGTGGGTGGAATATGTCATCTGCTCCGGGAGCTGCAGTGGAATTGGTGGGCTTTTCTTTTGTGGAAGCGGCGAGACAGGGGTACTGACTTGTGGTGCCTTAGCAGACTTTTGTAAACCCTGCATCTGATCTTGTGCTTTAGAAGCCTGGAGATGAATACACTGTAGGTCAGCAGGGTATTAATGTACAGGTTGGTATACAGAATTGAACTGCCATCAACGCTCGAATTGCTTGTTGTCAATTAACAAGCAATTACTGTACACATGCAGCTGATATCGTCTCTATATAGCTTGACTCACACTAGAGGTGGGCAATATATAATGGCAATAATATGAACGTTATTTTGAAGATATGCAAAGTTTTAATATTATGTGTAAAGTTTATAGTAAAATATGGCAAAAAAAAAGTGGCAATATTGTCCACCCCTTCCTCACACTCGTAACCGACATTATTTAAACTGAACAAGCTACACAGATATTCCCATGCTATTAGCAGTGCTCGGTATTAAGGGTGTAACAATATCCAAGTCTCATGATATGATATCATCATAGTCTGAACCTCACGATACGATATTTATTGCGAGATCGTGGGAAAGCTCACAATATGGCGGGGAGGCTCACGATTAGGGATGTAACAATATCCAAATCTCTCGGTATGATATTTTCACAATATACATCTCACAGTACGATAATTATTGCGATATTTTGTGGAGGCATAAACAAAACTGTTAATATGCTACTTTTTCCTCTTAAAATGCCTTGACAAGACTTAACCCAAAGAACTAAAACTTAAAAGTGCATAGAACTGTTATTTCTTCATGTAGTCTACACTGAAATGGAGCAAAGGATCATGGTCTATGTAGTTCCCTGTCTTAGCTATTGCTGCACCATAACTCTTAATTTAAACAAAGAGACTTGTAATGCGATATATTGTGATAGTCCACGATATTATTGTGAGAACTTTGACGATACGATATCACGATATTTCAGTTATTGTTACATGCCTACTTGGTATGTATGAAACAGCCCGTAGTACATTATTTTCAAACGTTTGCTGGTGAGAAGATGCGTGTTTGTCTTGTTAGGTGGTAAAAAGAAAACTCCAAGCCCACCAAACGTGTGTGGTTAACTGTCCAAGAGTAGCTCCACGCTCATGCTCTTTCTCTTACCCATTGGGAGGTGTCGACTGCTGTAATGACTCGCTCTCGATTGACAGCCTCCTCTTCTGGCATTCTTTTCTCCAACTGAGATCTCCGACCTTTTACTTCTGTTCTAGCATCAAAACTTCCCAGTAGAACTTGTCTTTCTGGCTCAACGGTCCTCACAAAGCTTAGATCTTCTCTCAAATGTCCAGTTAAATCAGAATTGTCCACCTCTTCATCAGAGTAAATAGATTGTGGACTCATTGGCCTTGGGCTGTCATCCATCCAATACTCAACAGGCAAAGCTACAAACTCTGAGTCAGAAGTCGCAGATACAGGCGAGACTGATCTGAGTAATGGACTACCCTCCATGAAATAGGATGACAGTATTCTCATAAATTCAGGTACAGGTGAATCAGTCATTAGGCTTCTGTGCTCACTAGACTCTGGAGAGGAACATCTGTCGTAATCAGATGCTCTCAAATGCGTTGAAAATTCAAGATCTGAGTATGAAGCCTCAGACTCTGGTGATGAAGACCGAAAAGATTTGGCAAAAGGGGAATATTCCTCCATCACCTCCACTGTGAACTGAGGAATTGGGGAGTCTGGAGAGAGACGACTATATTTACTTATTTCTGGAAGTGAATCTGGGGAAGATGCTCTGTTGTGATCCACGTGCATTGCTGATTCCAGGGACATTGCGATATCTTCTGTCAGTGAGTCAGGAGACAATGGACGGTCTTTTTCATCTAAGATCTCTGAATGTGTAGATTCTGGAGATGAGGCTCTGCGCTCTACGTGATATAATGAATCATCTTGAAGCATCTCTTCTATATCAGATCCTATGGGTTCTGGTGAAACTGATTCGGATCTCACAAATGTCTCACATCGTGGAATAGCTGTACTAAACTGTGGGACTGGTGAGTCTGGGGAAAGGCGCATCAGCTCATTCACTGATGTCACTGATTCTGGTGATGAGGCTCTCTCTACTAACATAGCAGATTCGTGTGGTTCTTGATATTCAGACAATAAGGTAGAGGCAAACATATGTGCGCTACCGTGATCTATGTCTAAATCCTCATCAGAATAAATTGATTGTGGGCTAGTTAGTCTTGGCCTGTGATCTGTCCAGTAATGAACAGGTAAGGCTGTAAACTCGGAGTCAGAGGAGAATGACACTGGGGAAGATGATCTAACCAAAGCGCTCCTATCCATAAAATAGGACGACAGTATTCTCATGAACTCTGGCACGGGTGAATCTACCATAAGGTGTCTGGACACACTAACGGAGTCTGTGGATTCTGGGGAGGAAGGCCTCTCACAATCCTCAATATCTGAAAAACCTGTTTCTTCAAAGTCTGAATATGAAGCCTCTGACACAGGAGACAATGGCCTGAAGTAAAGAGTATATTGTTCTGTTTGGTCTGCTGTAAACTGCGGAATAGGAGAGTCTGGAGTCAGGGGCCTCTGCTCACTGTG